GTTTTATTAGGGAAGAGAGCCAGCTGTCAGAGACATGGAGGGCTTATGTCAAACTTACCCTTGCCTCCCCAAGCTAGAAGGCTTCTGGGCTCGTACCACCTTCCTCCCAGGTACCCCAGGGAGGTATACATGTGGGGTTTGTCTGGAACAGTAAGTTAAAAGAGTTCATGTATAGTTCTTCAGGATCAGTTCTGCTGCAAGGCTTGCTGGGACTGGTTAGCTGGACTTATTCTGGGATGTCAAGCATGCTTGGCAGGGAGCCCCTTTCTTCTCTGGTTTTATAAGGGGCACAGTGTGCTTTCTCTTGTGCGTGATTGGCACCTGGGCTTTCTGAACAACTTTAGGCGATTCCTTCAACCTGCCTGTTTGTTCCAGGATGTGGTTACCAGCTGTTCTATTTCCTAGTTTTCCTTTGGATTGTCCCTAAAATAATTCGGTAAGGAGCTCCTGGGGGTCACCCCTCTCCCCATCTCAATGACAGCCTAGGAAACGACATCTATCTATACAGCAAACTCACTACCACCCTGTGACTCCCAGGAAACCTTGAGAGCAGTTTGATTCTGTTCCTCTGGGTGGAATGGACGCCACAGCATCGTGAGTAAATAGCAACCGCCACCACCACCCATTTTCTTCTTTTAAAGAACAAGGCACCCAGCTCTGGACTTCAGTTTAGAAAGCAAGCATGAGCCCAGGCTGTTGCATTAGATCGCTGTCAGAGGCAGAATGCTCTCAAATGAGGGCGATGCAGGCATTTCATTAACCATTGCCAATCCTCCCATTGGTGCTTCCAGCTTTCTCAGAAATGACTAAAAACGCAATCTGATGTTAAAAAGGCGCTGCCCCTCCCCGGGGCACCCCTGAGAATGCGGCATCCTCTATCTATGTAAACAAATAGGGCCCAAGGCAAGGCGTTGGGGTTTGTAACACGGGAGATGGGTTGCCCTACTCCGGGGAAACTGCCCGGGGCCGCAGGCCACCATGGGCCGCCCTGGATCACTCTGCGGAGCCCAGCCTGCGGGGGCCACGCAGGCGGCCTTTGGGGCCAAGCCTGGATTGCGTCCCGGGCCCGCGGGTGGAAGGGGGAGCCCCGGGGACGGCGGAGAGAGGGCTGGGCACGCACCTCTGGGGTTACTCACCCGGACAAGCGTACCCCAGGACTGCGGTCTTTCGGGGCGCGGACTGCGGCATCTCCTCTCCCGCTCCAGCCCGAGCCGGCCGCATTCACTGCAGCAGGTGGGGGCGGGGCTGGAGCACCCCCAAAAGAGCGTAGGATCAGGTGGCTCGCGGCCGCAGGTTCGCACGCCCCACTAGGCTTGAAAACCCGAGCGCCTGCAACTCGCTACCCGACTCCCTGAGCCCCCACGGGGCCACGTGACGCCTGCCCCACGTGACGGCGGGCCCGCCCCGCCTCTGAGTGTCACGCTGACGTCATCGCCTGGTGGTGGGCCCTCTGGACCGACTGCCTCCGCTTTCCCCACCCGAGGGCCCTAAACCCACACCCTGCCTATCGATTGGCTTCCGGCTCACAGTGACCCTGGAAGGCAAAGTATAACGGCCCCCTTGACTTCCCGCCAAGACCAGGGGAGCAGACAGCCCCGTCCTTCCCCAGGGGCCAGTGTGTGGGTCCAGTCACAGAGAGCAGCGCCATGCAACCAAGGATGCCCCCTGGGACTTAAGCAGGGGACTCCTGGCGACCACCCTGTGGGTTTCCGAGACTGTAACTATTGACCGGAGGAAGAAGCCCAGTCTTTCTCTCGCAGAGGGGCTAGTGGTTTCGAACTGCCCACCATGCAGATTGCAGCCCGTGCATAAACACTACACCAGGGGCCCAACAAAAAGCCCTGGCATCAGTTATCCGTTGTCCTGGGGTGCTGGCCTTGGGTTTCTTTCTCTTACAAAAGTAAGTAAATAAACCCCTCCTAGCTTCCCAATATTAGAATGGGTAAGTGCTCATTTGTAGGAAGGGCTTCAGGTCTTCCTCACTTTCAGTAAGCAAGGTTGTGTCATATATATGTGTATATATGTGTGTGTGTGTGTGTGTGTATCAGGTTGTTCATAAGCCTTCCTCCAATCCTGATGCTGCACTCCTCTCCATAGAACCCAGCTTCTCCATAGGCAGATTGAATAAGTATGGTGAAAGGATGCAAGCCTGATTGACATCTTTTCAGATTTTAAACCGTGCACTATGCCCTTGGTTTGTTCTCACAACTGCCCCTTGATCCATGGACAGGTTCCACAAGAGCACAGTATCAACTCCTGGGTTTCCCATTCCTTTTTTCTACGGCTAGCTATAGCTTGTTATGGATCATAC